GGGACTGATCGTTTGCGCGCGCCAGAAATGAAAGGAGCAACGACTCGCCGGAGCCTTCGGGTGATGATGGCATCCTCTTCGGGGGAAGGGCCTGTGATAAAGGATGAAAAGGATGAAAAATGAGAACATGCATACCAACACAACTTTAAATCATATCCAAACACTTTCAGTGGTTCTTGCAGTCAGCAAGCCCACGCGATATTGCCTACAAGGCTACGCTCACTTTGTGGGACAAATGACAGAAGAAACATGGTTATCGACTATTTAAGCGACTGTCAGTCCATTTTAGCCCGAAGGTACTCACCGCTCAATTGCGTCCAGTATGTTGCATCCAGTATGCTTTCAATGACAGCTGAAATAAGCACCTGTGGCAGTTCAACTGTTGATTACACTACGCCGTGTGCTAGCGGGAGGATCACCAGCCTTGGATCGCTTCGGTGGCCACCTGTCTCTACCAGCTGTGCAGGGGCACTGCCAAAGCAGAATGGCAGCGGCATGTTCGCTTCGAAAGGGGTACCCAGTTCTATCGGCTGCAACTCCCATCATATTTTTCGAATATGTGAAGGCACGGGTTTCCATCAAAGCTTAGAAGCATATTATTACTGTTGATGAATTGATGGGTACTGCTAACCTGGACCACTAGAGCAATATTTGTTAAGTTTTACCCGTGTACACTTATTGTAATCGAGCCCAGGTGGTTGTAAATGTCTATTTGATAGATCCTGCAATATATGTTAATCTTATCTGAACTGATCAACATGTCAGTCCTGTTACCCCACCATAATTACAATCACACCGCAATGATGATATGGCATTTACATTCATGGTTGAACACCTTGAGCGAACTCAAGACCTTGCGGCGCATACAGGAGGCGCACTCCTCTGCTGTACATTAGCGAAACGGACCCATTGCCGTTATCAATCCCTTGTCACTCGAGCTTGCTTTGGAAACTGTGAAATCGGCTCGGCGACTGAGCTAGTAGTTGCTCTTGTCCTGCTGGCTCTTTTCTCTGACAGAAGTGAACCGTATCTGCTGGCAATGTCCGTCAGAGAAGGGCGGGGTGTCGTAATAGCACCCAATATCTCAAGTGTCATGATTCTATACGATGAATCAAAATCACATCGAGTTCTCGCATACCACGGCAATTCTGTAGACGGAACACAAATGGTGGGTACCATGCTGCACTGGGGCACGCACAGCTTCTATGGTTCCTGTCATGGATGATATCTTGGAGATTCGCTTTTTGAGACACATGCGGACGGTGAAGACCCGATAACTTTGTCCAGTTCTGCTAGTGGACCCCACTGATCAGCAGCGGCATTGACAATCTTTGGTGCCGTTGGAGTGCAGCATATACAAACATTCCATATCCCACTTTTATCTCGATTTAAAGGAAAGATCCATGCATCGGTCAACTCAGATTAGTGTTCTCACTCCATTCAAAGAGTTCCTAGTAGTGGTCGATGGAAGACTTTTTCGACGAGGTTCCCTTTCTGCCCCTGCACGGAACTGCGGTCAAAGGTTGGAAATGGGGCATGGAGGTCCGAACGTGTTACGAGGAAGAATCGCCGATACTAGAGATGTCAATTCGGCCCGTAGAAGAGTGTCAAAATTTTGAGTGGCAGAAGCAAGGTGACTCGGAGACGACTGAACGTCCTTCGATAGAGACCTGGAC